TCAGCCCTGGTGTTTACAGCTTTGCACACACATTTTTCAATGAGCTGTATTGGTTGAGCCATCCGAAATGTTTTTTCAACAGTCTTAAATAGTTGAACCGTAGACATATATATATATACATATATATATATACCAGTGGTGGGCCATCAGGGCCTGCAGGGCCTTCTCTGCAGGCCTAAGAAAATATCTGAATCACAGACTGATGTTAATTATATTTTCCATGACTACTTATTAAATATCTCTAAATAGTCTGTCCGCTTCCTTTCATAGCTTTTCCCCTGGTTGCGCTGCTTCCAGACATGTATTTTCATGTAAAAGCATTTAACCAATCACATTTCAGCCATCATTTGTTGCTAGGCAGGGTCAAACTCAAACATGTTTGCCTGGAGGCCTTTACAATCCGTTCTGCAGGCTTACTTGGACTTTGGTTTTATGGAAGGACCAGACGAATCCAGACCAGAATGCGAAATTTGTGGTGAGAAGCTAGCTAATGACAGCATGAAGCCGAGCAAACTGAAACGACATCAGGAGACCAGACACCATGAAACTATTGGTGAAGCTCGGGAATATTTTGAGAGGAAAAAGCAGCTTGCACTATCAAGAAGATCAGGTGACATCAGAAAAGTTTTTGAGAGAGTAGGGGGCGACTTACACAGAGCCACTGAGGCGTCTTTTGAATGCGCACTATTAATTGCTAAGGCAAAAAAGCCGCACAATATCTGAGAGCAGCTCATCAAGCCAGCCTGCATAAAAATTGTGAAGAGGATATGTGGCCCACACGCGGTGGACAAAGTTAAAAGTGTCCCACTCTCGGATAACACCATCAAGGAAAGAATCAACAAAATGGCTGGAGATTGCCAAAACCAGCTCCACGAGACGCTTCGTCGTACTCTTTTTGCGAATCAGCTGGATGAGACGACCACAGTGGCAGAGGAGGCCGTGCTCATCGTTTATGTACAATACATTGATAGTGATGATTTGAAACAAGATATCCTCATGTCTACAAATCTAGAGACAACAACAACAGGTGAGGATATATTTTTGGCTGTTGACTCCTATCTCAAAGCCAACAATCTGCCCTATGAAAAGCAAATGCAAAACTCCAGGCAAAGGAATAAGATGAAGTTGTTTAATCCACAAAAAGGTCGGTACATGGGTAGGCAATGAATCAGGCAAAGGTACAAGGACGGCAGGCAAAAACGATGGTCGAGAATAGGCAGGCAAAGGTCAGGAAAACAAGGCAAGACGAGACTAGAATGCTTGAACGACTGAGGAAAAGACAAGTACGAACATGCAGCGAACAAGAGACAGACTGGGGACTATATACACCAGACAGGGAAGGAAACAATGAGACACAGGTGGAGGTAATTAGGGAGATGTCAGGAAATCAAGAGAAAGCAAGTGGGAAAGCAACACTGGGACCAAACAGGAAGGACTACAAAACAAAACAGGAAACGTGACAAGACACCCATGACAGGACGGCTGCGATGATGGGAAAAAACAAGGGATTTAACGCCCACCTGAAAGAATAGGCTCCTGGATGCGTGATTTTACACTGCATGCTACATCGCCAGGCATTGGCTAGTAAAAAGCTATCAGAAGACCTCAGCGACACACTATCAACTGTAGTTAACGTTGTAAACTTCATCAAAGCTCGCACTTCTAATAAAATACTTTTTGCCCAGCTGTGCGAGGCCGGAGCACATCAAACACTGCTGCTCCACACCGAGGTGAGGAGGTGTTTGTCGCGTGGACTCGTGCGTTTTATTGAGCTACAAGAAAAAAAAAAAATTCATCCAAGATCACAATAGGCCACTCTTTCAACAACTGAGTGACGCGTTTTGGATCAAAGCGGCTTATCTGGCAGACACATTCACTTTGTTCAATGACACAAACAAGCGGATGCAGGGGCCAGAATCGAACATCATGCTTTGCAAAAACGCCCTGGACGCTTTTGTGCGCATACTGGAATACAGAGTCTCTAAAATGTCAAAGCAGCATTCCCCGCCGCTGCTGCTGAAACAGTCTGGTGGCGCCGTGCGTGCGTCTTTGCGCACGGAGTTTACCGTGAACCTTCTCCGCAATGAGATTCAGAGCCGCTTTGCCGACATCGACCAGTATTTATCCAGAGAATGATGGGTGTTGGACCCCTACTGTAACAATTCCCCTGATCTGAGTCAGAAAAACAACTGTTACTAAATACGTTCGGCCTACACTGTTTAACTTTTATCTGTGAAAGTTCTTTTATCAAAATGTTATGAAAAATAACCATTGCCCCACACACCTTTATGCCAAATCAGTCACCTGTATTTTGTTTATCAATCACACAATTCACAAACAATCCACTTCTTTCCCCACATTTTTTCAATAGTCTTGGTCAAAAATCACCATCAGTATTAACCGCTTCCCCCCCAAAGTCACTCCATAGTGTAAATCCAACACCGGTCCTCTTGCGAAAATACAAAAAGAAAAACCCCACAAAAATATACAAATTAAGTTGAAAAATCTGGCTTCAGCAATGCATTGCACAAAAAAAAATTGAAGGCAAAAATGAGTAAACTAGATGGATCTCACCAGCACATCCAGCGGGAAAAAAAGTCCTCCAGCCTTCGACTTCTTTTTCTTTGCTTTGAAAGTCCTTATTTCCCCAAGTATTGTCCAGTGGGCTGATTTTTCCATTTTTTTTTTGGTTCAACCCCATCCGGCAGGACTCTTTGCAGCCTCCTCATTCAAAAACCTCTCTCTTTTTCATGCCACCTCTCACACCTTTCAAACATTTTTCCTCATTACCTCTTTCCCAGGTGCTCCCTGGATAGCTCCACCCCTATTTTCCTTAAAGAGGCACACTACCCCTTTAAGGTAAGACACAGGGTATGACAATAAAAGCCCAAGAATTATAGAGGCTGATACATATATTGATAAAACCCCACCAGGCCAATGTCAATTTTACCTGAGCCTCCAACTTTCCAAGACCCTACTTATGAGACAACATACACAGAAAAAACACCATCCAACTTAATGTGGCAGGGTCACA